AATGAATCATTAGGTAATGATTAGTTCATGAGTATCTATGAAACGACCATACTGACCACTTTATTTATACTTTATTATTTTATAATTAATGCAAATTTGTTGTCTCCTCAGAAATACTGCTATAAATGCCCTTGAAAAGGCAAACCTATCTCAATTATGGTTTTCTCTTTTTTGTTAATAGTCAGCAGCAACCTTTGACAAAATATGTGTATTTTATATAAAATATTAAAAAAATATTCAATTAAATGAATAATTTATTATTTTCTTTGGTATTTTTGTCATATGTAGATAAGCAATGATGATAGGTGGGTGTTTTCCAATGAAGGCAGCCTTTTATGTATAAAAAGCATTGAGCTCACAGATGTGCTCAGCTAGTCAGTCTTGACAGGTTTTGCTTTTCCCTTTTCTTTCCCTTTTAAATGATTTTGCATTTCTTATTTCAAAACAAAAATCTGTTGGCCGTAAAGTACACTGACCATCTTATCTGTGTTTACTTCAATATTTGGATGTATCAGTGCAGTGGTTGCCAACCTGGAGTTAAGGGGTCGCCAAAGTTTAAAAAAATATTTTTGGGGCTTTTTATGCCTTTATTTGAGGATAGAAGGGGGTAGAGAGAGAAGGGGGACAACATGCAGCAGAGGGTCGCAGGTTGGAATCAAACCAGGGCTGCTGCAGGAAGGACTCTATAAAGAGCCTACATACTGTTTGCCCTGGGTTGCCAAAGCTTCACGGGGGGTTGCAAGGCCTTCTTGATTTTGAGTGTTTTAAGAAAACAAAAAAATATATAGACTGTAGGTCTATATCTCAGCATTTGGTTCATTTATGGGAAGAAAACTAAATAAAATTGTATTTTGTATAAGTTTATATTATTATTTAAGATCTAAACTTTGAAGACCTGAACACGTGCTATATTCACAGAGCTTTCACTCTCTGATATAGAATCCTGCTTTAGAACAATGAGAAGAAGAGACAGAATCTGTCAAAAAAGAAACCCATTAAGTATGTATGATTGTTAAAACATTATTTTAAAAAAATACATAATACAGACAGATAATTGTATTAAAAGTTCCTAAAAATATCAGGACAACTTCTCTCTGATCAATAGTTACAGGAAGTAATGTGCTCAAAATTCCTCTAAAACTCTCATAAACTTCAAGCTGTGTTGACTGTTTGGGTTTATTGTACAGTTGATCAGTTGTCCTTTAATGTTAGTGTTATACATTTAATATAATATGAAACATCCATAAAATATGTCAATTAGTCAGATTACTCAGTGATCGAGAAAGTTGGGAACCACTGAATCAGTGCCTTGCCCCTACCAGTCCTGTACAGTAGGAGGCAGTGTACACCTTTGAAATGTGTTTACAATCTAGACTGAAAGAAGAAGAGGAGAAGAGGGGACAGAAGAAGAGGAGGATCCGGGACTAACCATGGCTACGGCTGACAGCGGACCGAAGCCTCTTCAGAATGCCATGAAAATGGCTAAAGTAGCAATACAGCTGGACGGAGGGAACAAACACAAGGTAGTGAGCTCCACAGCCGGACTGCAGCGACACGACGAAGGTTAAGCCCTTCGGGAAGCAGTCTGTGGGGCTGTAAACAGAAGGGGGGGGTTAGCTAGCTAAACTGTCACTTGAGTAACGTTATGTTGTTTACATGTAATACAGTCACCTGCTGGGGTTCAGGGCTGCACACCTTCAAGCCTTTCAACGCTTTATTCTACAAATGGCACCTGTCGTTAATACGAACTTTTTCTTCATTGACTACTCACTGTTGTCCTGTCACTAATAACGTTGTACTTGTAGAAGTAACAGCTTGTTATCCCAAACCCTTAAAAAAACAGTATAGTATAACAAATAAATCACATACAAATATATCAAATAAATGCATGGTTGCAAGACAAAACTTCAGTTTATTGATTTAGATAAACCTTTGAAGTTGCAAACATTATTTTGATGAGTTGTGTTTACATAAATAATGTGGAAAACACTAATTGGAACAAGTTGATTTTATGAGTAGCCTCATCAACTTAAAAACGTGTTTATGCTGGCAGTTATTAGGTAAGTGGTAATTAAAAAATGCTCATTTTAATTTCATTAGAAGTTGTCATAACTCAGAAGGATTGATGCAAACTGTTGAGTGTATGAGTTTTAGTTATCGCTGTTGTCATTCCTGTAGCATTTATATGGTTTTACTATAGTTACACTATATTTACTATAGTTAGAATATATTTTTTATATAGTATTACTATAGTGTGTTCTATAATCTTTCTATCTAATCTATCTTCTTCCGACTAAAAGTTACTATTTTAATACTACACATTTACTAAAACATCATCATAATATTACTATAGGAATGTTCTATAGTACGTTCAAAAAACAACTACAGAAACACTATATAATATACAATATTAATACTATTTAGAATGTATAGGAATCTAGAAATGATCTAGATACATAGTATTACTAATAAAATATTACAGGGCTACTGTAGCTAATAAAACAGCACTACAGAAAAAACATTATACAGTTCTTATACTATACTATAGTAATGCTATAGATCATTTTTGTAAGGGAAAGCATGAGCACTTTGTCATTTTTCATACTATAACTAGAAACTAATAAACAATTAGCTTATTTTGGACTTGATAACTTGACGCAATAAACTCAAACATTACACTACATTTGTATCATCACTATCATGTCTTCACAGAAGATTGTAATGTATGTTATTAATTAGTTATTAAGATATGAAGTCAATTAGGACATTTGACTTTAGAATTTTGGCCCCATTGCTATCTTCTTGTTGCATTTTCAGCAAATTTAGTCAAATTTCGCAACAATAGCTAATTGTATGTTCAGCTATGACTTGTTACTATAAACCTATAAACCTTTTTCACAGGAGTCATTTTGACATGAAATAGTATGGTAAACACAGTCAACACACCGATCAGACAAAAAAAAAACAGACCTGTTTTGTGATTTGTTTTTTGTGGTAGATATAGTGTATGTGAATAGTACTATTAAAATGAGTCTAGTAACTATAAAACTTTTGTTTGTTTATTTTGATATTGAATCAAAAGTTTATTAAAATTCCATAACCACTATTTATTAGGGAGTTATTAGTAATAGTGAAATAGTAGTAATACTGTAGTTAACAGTTTCCTTTAAAGAGTAGTCTTGATTAAATATAGTAGTTACTTTTCACTACAATTTACAGTAGTAACTTCTGGATTTTTTTTTGTTGGACTAGTACAGTGAAACAATGACTCTCCATCCATCATACACACTTATCCTGTTCCTGGTTGTAGGGGGGCTGGGGTATATCCCATTATGGGTAAGACAAGAGGCGGTGTACACCCTGGAGAGGTTGCCAGTCTATCAGTGAGCTTTAAAGTGCCTTAGTTTAAAATAGGTTCCTGCACTTGTAGTGACTTGCAAATACAGAAAAGTAAATAAGGAACTGGAAAAACAAGTAAAGTCATGACTGTTTCCTCAAATAATAGTGACTAGTCATCAAAATGAGGTCTGGTGTTAAGGTCTGGCTTATAAAATATTGGCCATATATAATCATCTGAGTGTATTTATAAAATTTGGCATTGAGACGATCCAACAGGCAACACATAACACAACACATATATGGTGGACTTTAAGAATAGCATCACAGCACCGTATGGTGCAAGAACATTGTGACTGACTTGTTACTGCTGTATTGCCATGTTCCCTGATCAGCAGTAGTTATAATATATTATTATGTTTTACTGTATACCATAACAATAATAAGATACTACATGCTTGTGCTCTTTCTGCAGGAAGCTTACTGTGAATATCTCCGGACTATCAACTTCATATCACATGCACTTTTGGAAGAAGCTGGGTCACAAAGTAAGATATATGTAGTGACACATGATTGATGATAAATGAATGTACAGGCATCACCATCTTGGCAGTCCTGACTCCACGGCTCCTGGCTAATCCAAAAATGGGAAAAGAGATGGAGAGTGGGTGGTTATGCTATGGTTTAACTTTAAGCCTTAATATAACTTAAAGGGTAAGTGCAGTTGTCATGAACAGGGAAATTAGCTATACAAACCATTGTTTGTACCAGGCTGTAAGCATGTTTATTTCTGCTGTAAAGTATTTTAATATGGGGGCTTATAGAGATTGACTCACTGCTGGAGCCAGCCTCTAGTGGCCGTTTAAGGAACTGCCGTTTGTGGCATTTCTAGGCCTCATTTGCCAGCCATAGAGGTTGCAGCTTGGCTCAATGTTATAGCTGACATTGGTCATCAGTGGATAAGTAGCCCCGTTTTAAATTGTCTGTCATAACAGCGTGCTGATTTCATGCCTTTAAGTCCTGAGGATTTTTATTTTATTTTATTTTAGCTCACCAAAGCAAATTTCTATCAAAGGACAATTAATTACAGTCTTTAGAGACTGTATACACCGATCAGCCATAACATTGTGAGCACCTGGGCACCCTGGTGGTCAGAATGTTCTGCAGCCCCATACCAACAAACTGTGATGCACTGTGTGTTCTGACACCTTTCTATCAGAACCAGCATTAACGCAGTTGAGAATACAGCTAGCTCCTCTTTATCTGTTGGATCGGACCACACGGGTCAGCCTTCACTCCCCATGTGCATCAGTGAGCCTTGGACCCCCATGACCCTGTCTCCGGTTCTTTTCCTTACTTCTGCTGCCTGATATATCCCACCCACTGACCAGTGCCATAATAACCAAATAATCAGTGTTATTCACTTCAGTCAGTGCTCATAATGTTATGGCTGATTGGTGTATGTTCTCCAGTATAATGTGGTCAGACAGACACTGTAGGCACCTGATATCATCTGCATTAATGCTGTGCTGTGGGTCCTATTCCTTATATCCTATTGATCTTTTTGTACTTGTTGCCCTTTTCTTCACAAATTCACATTTAATTAAATTGGAACTATGTTACAATAGAGGCTAACCGTAGCATTAAAGCAGCATCAAGAATTCTTCTCCTTCTACCCTCTAGTGCCAACAGATAAGACAGATAATCTGTGAAACAATCAGTTTTCTCTGGCTCCTCCTAGTGCTCCTAATGGTATTTACAAAAATCCACCACAGCTGAAATATAAACAACCAGTAAGAGCCGAGAAAGAGAAGTGATTGTTGAGTGTCATTACTAGGTTGTCAAATACTGGCGGAACTTTGAGACTCTGGGAATGAGACTCAACAATCAACTATCTTCAAGCCTCCAACCCCAAGTGTCTTTCTATCTTTCTCAATCTGATTTGGTTGTTTTCGTTCAGGCCTGGTGGATTCTTGCAAATGCCATCAGGAGCACTAGGAGGAGCCAAAGAAAGCTGATTTTATACAACTGTCAGAACACAGTGAACATTTCAGCAATAATGACAAAAAGTTATTTTTATAAAAACTGTATCCCTATATACATATAATGAAATGCTCATTTGATATATTGCAGATTTCTATATGCTGTATTTACGGCTGGGGGTATCTTTAATCAACCTGCATGTTGTGATATTAAGATTTGTGCACAGTCAGTTCTCTTCTGGACCACGATGAGGATCTCAGATGAGGCTAATGAGATATTTATAAAGCATGAGAAAAGCCTCTAGGGTTTGAACATGTAGAAGTCAGTGGATTGGTGGGTTGGACCAGTCCAGGCTTCAGTCCAAAACACAAGCAGCACCCCCTTCTAACAGAGCTAATCATTTTAACCAGACTTGAGCTAATCAGTTTGAATACAGTAGTTGATTGTTAGCACAAAATTGAATCAGATCTCAAATGCCATGTGATGACCTTTATATAGCAGGCCTGCATTAGATTAATCTTAAACTCTCTGTCTTCTGTTTCTTTCCGTCCGGGCCTCAGAGGAGAGGGAGATAGTGGCGGTGGAGGTGGAGCGGATGTTGAGGCTGGCTGAGCAGTGTCTGGAGCGAGCCAAGTCGTTTATAGGGAAGAGCGCTGACCCACCCGACCTCTCTGCCTCCGTCTCCGCTTCCTCTTCCTGTTCACCTGGCCAATCAGAACCCCATCAGACTCCTGCCCTCCCAGTCACCACTGCTGCGAGCACTGGTGAATACACCCCCTTCCAATCAGAAGCATCTCTTTTATTAATATACCATTCAATCACTGCTAACTTGGAGCCTGCCCTAGGGGTCACAAATCCAAATCAGCCAATGTGTGTAGCCACATGATTTTTGTCCTGTAAGCCAATCACTGCTCTTTTTCCCCTTTGCTGTCACAGTCCCTCCATCTGATATTCCTGTTGACACAGGGCGTAAAGCAACCAGCCCGACAAAGACCGGTCACCGCAGGGTAATGTCAGAAGGTGGCGGGGAGCTCTCTCCTTTTCTGCCTCCCGAAATCTTCCAGAGACTACAAACAGTGGAGTCACAGGACACAAGCAAAAAGTAGGGGCCAGTTTTTATCAAGGAGGGCAAATATTGCTCCAATCAATGACAGACATCCACTTAAGTGAACAACATAGCAGAGATAACAGATTTCTAAGAACCAGTCACTTATAGCTTCCACTGACGAGCACAATGTTTGAAACCGTCCAACCAGGTCAAACAGATTCTTACACTCTTTAATGTCTTCAAATCACTTATCTGAATTTTAGACCTGCGCTTGGAAATATAAGGAGATGTGGTGTCTATCTGTGATTCAGTAAATATGTGTTTCTATAATTATTTTGGCCAGGATAATTCTGACATGAATTTTTTTTTATCGGAATACTTCACTCTAAATGTTTAATTATGTAGTTTTCTCAACCGTCTGTGGGCCAGTAATGATTGCTCAATCTGCTCCTCTTCTGTGTTAATGTTTCATTATAATCCATACACCCTTAAGCTAAGCAGCAGAGGTTAAGTGACAGTGCCAAAACTACTGGTCCATTTTCGGGTGAGCTAAATATGCAGTGTTACATGTGACTGTCTGTAACACACAGCGTCTATCCTTTGCTGGACAGGACGCTTAAAAATAAAACTGGGGTTATTAATTAGTACACCCACTTCTCCAGACACCACTGTTTACCAGGTTTAAAAAAATGTTGCTCCTTCTCATCTTCGCACTCAGTTCTCTTAATGCCTGAGGATAGTTTTTACAAGTCTTTACAAGTCTAAAGTGACAAAAAATATCCCTAATTATTTGATTTGACTCACAGAACCTTGTCGTTACCATATGTCAGTTTCATTGGTGCTTGTGTGAGCTTTTTCTAAAAATGTTTTACTCAAAATAATAACAATGTCATGCTGCCCCGCCACATTGACAAGGGACATGTTGCTTGTTTGTATTTTGTGTGTGTGTCCCAGGGAGCTGACACCCATTGAAGAAGCATCACGTTTAAACCAGAAGTTGAAAGCCAATTATGAAGCTCGTCTGGCAAGGCTCACACCTGGTCAGGCCTACCAGAAGACATCTTTGGTATGTGAATGAGTGTGTGCGTGTATTTGTGTTGTTGACTTGAGCTAAAGGCCCACTAAAAGCTGACTTGTAGCAATATGTGTCCCATTTTTTTAACAACATTACCTTCTCGAGACTGGACCAGCAGACAAACTGGAAGATGAGTTCATTACATGATGCATTATGGTCCAAGTTGCAGTTTGTTTAATGGCACACAGAAATCAGCCATATTTTGCTTCTGGTATGACCTCTTCCTAATTTTTTCCCTACCTGATATATACCCATAAGCTGTGTGTGAAATACTGTGACATTTTGGGGGACCTGTGCTGTGAGCAGCGCTTTCAGACACAGCAGCACAAATTACAAATCTTAGGAAAACATTTCAAAACAAAATGAGGCCTGTATGTATGAATAAGAGGACCAAATTAGTAGAGTTTGTCTAAGCCGATATTTGCGGATCAGTGGGTTTTTCACAAAAGCCGAATTTAGAATCCAGGATAACTGAAAAAGTGAGGCTTGACCTAGTCTAGTCTAGTCTAGTCTAGTCTAGTCCTGGTTTTATACGTTTCATGTAGGCCAAGCCAGGCTGAGGAGGTGCAACTACGTGAAGCCAGGTTTAACTAATTGAGATAAATGCACGTTCATGGCTTTTATCAGAAATAGAGAAGACGCATTAAACATACTTATATAATGGAGTCTTACCTTAAGCATGTATTATGTAAAAAAGGAAATCCAGCCACAGTGTGGCAGACAATGGTGGAGAGACTGAATGTGTATGTAGTCTACAAATACACATTTAGGCCACTGCTCTTAACTGAAACCATCATAATTATACCATTCAAGGACTTACTGGCCATCTGCACAAATCAACAGTTGTACACTTTGCCTTAAAAGTGAGCAGTGGAAGTTAATATATTACTCTGTAAATTAACCATTAAGACCTTACTTACATGAATAGTTAAACTCTTCTCATTCTTAGGAAGCACTACACTCAGCCTTATGTAGTCCCTTAGGGGACATGGAGGAGGAAATAAAATACATGAATACAATAAAACTGCACCCTGTCTGTCCTGGGTGCTCTTTTTGTGTCAGCCTACAACTACTGCCTTTGTGCTCTTTCCTAAACAAGAACACACTTGAAGCAATGACCCGGACATGTTTTGACCCTTGACTTTTGCCCAGAAGAAGACTCTTTTACACTCAAAATATTTTCTCAGGGGAACGCAAATGTATTTTTTTTCTCCCCCATGTATTTTTTTCCGTCTCCATACTGCCTACACGTTTATTTGATGCATGTTTTTTCAAAAGGGTGTCAGCATTTTTAAGCGACCTCGTGTGTGCTTTTATTGTGAATGTCTCGTGTCCCTTCCGGCTTGTATGTACGTCGGCTAGCTTGCCGCTCTTTTTGAGCAGCCGAGGGCAGCGGGAGTGGGAGTGGGAGTGGGCTGTGTGCGGATCTATTCTCTCTACCGCAGGAGTTGTGTAAGGCTAGATAGGTTCTCAGCTAAAAAGCCCAACTTTCGCCTCCTCGGCTTCATCCCTTTGGTGAAATCTCCAGTCAAAAAAACATGATGGTAAACGAGAGACCAAACATTTAATTATTAAAGCGCTCTTAATTGCAACGCTTGATAAACTTATTTTAATTCCGACATCAATTTTGTATTCATCTGGAGATTTTTAAATTCATGTCAACTCATCATTCAGATGCGGAAAATGTTTCGGCGTCAAGTGGAGATCCGTGCTTACTGGAGAAAGCTAAAGGCGTTTGTAAAGGTAAAGTCTTGCTAGCTAATTAACACGTCTCACTGAAGTCCTTTAAAAATACTTTGAAATGATTGCTTTTCTAACTGTCCCCCAAAATTGTTGAGTACTAACGTTAATTTAAGTCCTCACATCAAGATTCATTAAGGCCACGAGCTGTTCGGCATAGTTTGCATCTTTTCATTTAATGAAATATTAAATTTAAAGACTACAGCTTGACCTGACGGGGTGAGCGGTACTCGACCGTTCGTGTTGGTTCAGTAAATGGAGTCTGCAAGGTTGGAAACGTCCTTGATGACGCAGACTAACGTTACTCTAGCAGATCTCACTACAGACAATACAGTATTGAGTTCCTTGTTGTGATGGTTAAGGTGTAATTTAGTCTTTTTGGTGTTGCAGTTGCATTGCAGGTTGTAACGTGGTGGTGGGTTCTTTCCAGTTACTGTGTGAGACCCTACTGGGGTAAAGGATAAAATAATAATAGATAGATAGAAGAGTTTATTACTTACATTGAGATTATATTTTTTGTATGTTTGTATGTATGTATTGCATGTTTTCTGAAATCTATCTCTTTAAATATTTCGATTAGGAAATATTTACTAAAAATAAAAAGAATCCCTTAATTTAGAGTGGTTATTGTTTCATATACCTTGTGTCAAGTTAGTTTCTTCCAGTGTCTCCTAAATTTTAAAATAAAATTGATCCAAAGTGCATTTGAAAGGCTCCCGAAAGAGCCTGTGGTATTCTCCAGTTCATTTGTGTTGTCATCTAAGGGTAAAGCACTCTTCTTGGAAATTCTTGGAAAGGGTTTAATCAGTTTTGGAAATCATTTAGATTCTTGGAAAGGGTTTAATCAGTTTTGAACACGCTTTACGGTCACAGTTTGGCTTTTTCACCAAAAATACACACTCACAGAGAGGGAAAACTCTCTCTTAAAACAGTGCAAATCCGGTATTATCTACTTAAAAATGCTAATTTGCCTACATTTTAGGAAATAAATGTAATTGAATAAGGCCAGGTTTAAAATGTTTGTGTCAAAGAGTAATTATCTTAATATATTCTTCCATAATAATTTTGGAGATCACTTTTTATTACTCCATAAATTAGAGAACACTGTCAGCAGCCATAATAAATCCATTTTTTTGGCCAAAATAAATTGGTAAAATTGAGTCAACTTTGTCCTTGAAAATTGTGTGCATGCTACCTTTTATGCCTTTGGATATTCATCCTGGGTTTTCAACACTGGAACAAAGCCCTTTTGGAGAAGAATATAACTGGAAGGTTTGGCGTATGTAAGTGCTACTGAAGTGGAGATTTGTGAATATGAGTATGCATTTTGTAAAACACTACAGATGAATATGGTAAAAAAGAAAAGTTTACTAATAGATGTCAACATGAACATGTACACGTGTTTTGAAAGTTTATGTTAAAATATGCAAATTAGGCATAATGTAAAACTAACTTTTGTTGAATTTAGGAGAAATCTGCATATGCAAATAGACAATAAAACACACAATTGTGTATTTTGGGTGTTTTCTTTCTGCAAAATATTCCAAAATGTAAAAGTGTCTCGCTTTAAGATAAAGCTTAATTTACTAACTTTGTTGAAAGATTTTAGATGGTAATTGAGATGGGACATGACATTGTGGCTTTAAATTTAACTTAATTATTCTAAGCGCAGTATGTGGGCGGGAACTGCCGAGAAAGTTAAATTCCAGCCCTGTTTGTGCTAAAATTAACTGGATTTTTCTCTACAGAAACAATTTGCATATTAATACAACTTTACGAAATATTTTTCCTTTGTCATATTTAATTGCATACATGCATGCACTTGACATTATTTCCTCTCCTCTTTTCCAATGCAGACGCTCTCCCTCCAGCGGCAGATGATGGAGAATCTCATCATAGCCAAAGCCAGACAGGATGCTGTATCCTTGCGTTTTCACTGGGTTGTAGAAGTCTCCATCTTTGTTGCTTGACAGGTGATGGATAGCTTTCTTAATATCATTTAAGGCAGTGAGTGATGCTTTATTCCCAATTTGTCCTAATTGGTAACATTTTCCCAGCTTTCCAAATCCTTACGTGGGAGTGTTGAGCTGTGTGCAGGTATGGACAGATGGCATATATTAGTCTCTAAGTAAACAAATATTTAAAAGGTAAAGAGACCGTTGAGCTGCTCGGATATTCAACTTATAAGTTTTAGCTCCCAGATCACCAGAAATGGGCATTCATTCTTAAAATAGTGTTTTATTGTTCATTGCTTAGAAACAGTCCAGAAGAAAAGAGAGGCTCATGTGAGGTGGATTTATGACACAGACCTTTAGGTTGCTTTGGGTTGCTGTAACTCCTTACTCTTTCTAAATTTCCCTGGTTAACAGTCCTACAGGGTCACAAGGGGGCACTGTGGTTCTACACTGTTTAATATATAGTGCTGATTGACCTGTATGGGTTCACTTTGGTAAGACTAAACTGACCTGGTTTGATCAGTGCTGCCCAGTTTTCCCCTAAAGAGCTCTCATTTCATTGGTTAATTTAGCCAGCAATTTTGTGCCACCTGATTTGTATTTACCTGCTTGTTTTTTTAAACAGTGCAGCTCAGGGTTCGCTAACTTTTGTCCCTTCAAAAGTTTACAAAAAAATATTTTTCTTCATTTTTTTCTTTTTCTTAAAGCTGGGATATTTTACAGAGGAGTGGAGGATAGATGTGACTGTGGGATATTGATATTTACAGAATGGGATGCTCGTGTTTGCTGGTTTTTCGTGATCTCCCTGATTGAACCTAAAGACATCATTACTTACAGCTGACCCATGTGAGGTTTCCTTAATGTTTGTCGGAACATTAGCTTCAGCGGAAGATGGAGGAAAGAAGACTGAGACTGCAGGAAGAGGCCAACAGGTACAACACAGTTCTCTACCAACACACTGAATTAGGTTCAAACTTTATTCTGTTTTCAGCTACTGCCTTCTTTCTGTTAAGTATGGAGTATGCCTCTTTACAGGAATACATGATACTCAAATACAGAGCTACAAGCTTCTTGTGAAACGCTATCCAGAACTTACTTTGCTACTACCACAACAATTCAAGCTTAACATGTGGCTAACTTGACTTAGACTTTGATGTTTGCTTAGTTGGCGTAATTGTACAAATGCTGCAAACTGTATGTTTGGTTTTTAAAAGTTCATAGAAGTAATTGAGAGTAGTTATTCTTTCAAGTACCCTGTCTCAAGTTAGTTCCTTCCAGTGTCTCATATCCCAATATAGGTGATCTCATATCAAGATAATGATATCACGATATAGCACATTTTCTGTAAATTCAATGAAAAGTTTATAAATATATCTAAAATATTGTCTGTGTCTCCCACATAAGACTTTACTTGGGCGAGTCTTGATTTTAGGGCATGTGAAAAAACCTACACAGTAAGCCTATATCTCAGCATTTCGTTCACTTCTGTGAAGAAATGTAAAGTAGAGTAAATTGTCTAATAGAACAAATATGGCCAAATGTCAAGGACAAGAAAAACAAAAAATCAAAAAATAAGCCTATTAGGTATAAGTGCTTTAAAAAAACATCATACAGAGAATTGTATAAAAAGTTCCCTAAACAGACTTAACTGCTCAAAATGTATCCAAATCACTCCTTTTACACAAACTTTCCTGCAGTTACTGAGTTCACTGTTTGTGTTCATTGTACAATTGTATAATATGAAATATCCATAAAATATGTCACTGAACCAGTTTACTCAATGATAGAAAAGGGGTCCCTTAAAGGTTGGGAACCACTGAGATATAGCATTCAACTTTGCATGTCCTCACTCTGTTATTTGTGTGTTTAGCTCAGTGGTCATAGGTGCGAATGTCCATAACCTGTAGACCAATTTGGAAAGAAAATAATCAAATTAACCTGTGCAGTAATTTTGTAAATATTTGTAGATAAATTCTCTCTTCACATTCATAAACTGAAATGGGTGATGGATCAAAAATTGGACATAAATATTTTCTTTGGGTTTTTGTCATTACAGGCGATTTGCAGCTTCTGGCGCAATGACTACGGAGGAGCAAGAGCAGCGTATTCTCTATACCAATGTACTGGAATACGAGCAAGACCATGTACGTTGCGAGTAATTCCTATAAATATGTCTGACAAGCAAACGCAGTAACAAGTATTCAATGTATGTAATGTAATGTGAGTAATTCAGTAAATTACTTTGAACCTTGAATTATATGAAATGTTAGAAGGGATACAACTCTATGCCTATGTGTAGCTGTTTCTTATATCCGAAGAGAACTGTCAGATTTGGCATTCAACAGTTAAATTAAAATGAATCAACTAACATTGTTGTATGAAACTAAAGATATAGTTGCCAATAAGTCTTTTTTTTTGTCTATTTAGGATTGGCCCAAACTGTGGAAAGCCAACATGAGGAAGAATCTTGATGATATGACATTAGTGTCAGGTCTAGTCTCCTACCTGCTCAGGTAACTGACTGCAACATGAACATTTTATATACAGTTTAAGTTCAATTGAAACAATAACAAAAAGACAAAGTTTGAGGTAATTGTGAAGCAGCGTGAGATCATGGGAGTTGTCTTCACCAC